TCATGAATTTGCCAGTGACTCAATGAATACTATTGCTATATCTCATGTGAATTTAATTTACTTGTACGCATTAGCGAAATTAAAAGCTAGCAAATAAGTACATGTAATGTATTTACAGTAGTGTCCGGTAGTTTTATCTAATGGATAAGAAACAGGATAATGGAGATTATAATTGGATAAGTTTTAGAACACTCTAGAGTACAATATTTGGCTATTAGAAGTATATATCAAATAAACACACAAATAAATCAAGAATTGTGATTATTGTATACTGATAATTAAAAGTATGACTTATTATGACCATAAACTCTTCTCTGTTATTTGTATAAGTTTTGTCTCTGAATATCTAGAAAATGGTATTGTCAAATAAAGTAGATCCTGAAACATTCTATGTGGACTTTGAGAAAGAATCTTTTTCAATAACTATTAAAAATAATAGCTTTTATTACCAACTAGAGTTCCTACAAAGTTTGGTCTAATTTTTTTATTACACAAAATGATCAATGTTTCGATGCAGAAGTTGGCCTCGTCTGATTCTGGTTTGGATTCATTTTGTGAGTTTTGCTTCAAGTTAATGACAGTAATACTATATTTTGAGTACCGTATTTCATGTGTCTCTGAACCCGAAAACAAATTCAAATTTAAATCAACGAACAACTTTGGGATTGTTTCCTACTGTTCACAAAAAATTATGCCGGTGACAAAAGTAATTTTGATTTCAAAATGATTTTGTCAAAATGCATGCACTTGGTTTGAAAATAGAAATAAAATAAAACAAATCTTTATAGCATTACTGTTACCGGTAGTGTTGTTGAATTACAAATAATTTAAAGCTCTTATGTCGCTTTCTCTGTGTACGAAATACTGTGTTGTTATTTAATATTTAGTTTTCAAACCTCTAACTTCCAGGGGCAGAAATTAAAATATTGATATTAAAATAATTAGAGCCAGGAATTTAAAACAAGGATAGAAAGTAAATTTGTTATTTAGTGTCCGTAATCGTTGCATGGACCATAATCTCATACATAATATAAGCTTACAGTACAGTTCTCTGGCCATTGGAAAATTGTCATAATGTAGTACAAAATGTCATTGTAGTGATAGTATAATTCCAGTGAGATTTCATATAATATGAGAAATACATTTGCAAACCGGTTCAAAAGTTTGTAAATTTAATTTCCTCTCTCAATTTACTGAAATTCATGGTGGCAAAAAACAGTTTTGGTTATTGGCATATTTGAATGTACACTCTCAAAGCAATCATAGCATGTCATATTTCTCCTCTCTGATACTTCGTTCAATTTGTGCTAATGTCAACCATTTGAATGTCTTACAGAATGTACAAGAGGAAGTGATAGCAGCGACGACGTACCTCGATTTATTTATTCGCTGCACTACCGAGCCATTGATGATGCGGGCATTCCTACGTTTCATCTGTAAAGGACACCACGAAGGCTCGTATATACTAGACACACTGATAAGCAGAATACACAGTGAGACTAGGGTGAGTTTATATTTCAAATGTGTGTGTTTTGCGGGTTTTTGATCATTGGACTTCTATAACTTGAATCACTACGCTGTGCTGCCGTAGATGGAGCTTTTCATCATTGAGATTAGGATGAAATGGAATTATGTTTTAGTAATTCATTTTTTTTTTCACACAGTTATGTACAGTGACTTTATCTCTGTTTTATACTTTGCTGAATTTGAACTGTGAGGATGTAGTTTTGCATTTAGTTTTAAAGTAAGTATTCTTTAATTTCCCTTCAAATTATAGCGTTTATGATTGCATATTCAAATGTTTGTGGTTATTGTGCAGCGCATGTTCGAATATTCTGATCGTCGTCCTTGTGAAGAAATTTCACACATTGGTCCACAAATGTCATGTTTGAATGGGTACATAAATAATTAATTGCATTACTCTTGTTTGAATGAGTTCGTAAAAAATTAATCACATTACACAGTGCTGTGTGATATCATTTTAAACTAACCTTTAATATTGAGTTGTGATTGTAGTGTATTTTACAAAAAATAGCACTGTTCTGACTGAGATAGGGCCTCATTGATTACATTTAAGTTTATATAATTTCTTCTCTAATATCAATCATTTTTGTTTTCTCAAAACAAATTTCTCAACAATTTCTGTTAAATTACAAATACTATCAATCATGATTTGATAATTAGTCCCCGTTCAGGCGCAGCCTGAAAAGGGGACTACTAATTCAGGTTATGTCCATAATTCCGTCTCCAACATTTTCTCAGAAATTCTACAGCAGATATCAGTGAAACTTGGCAGGTTGATGAACATGTCCCCTCCGAGTATGCACGTAATTTTTTTTCCAGATCTGAAAATCCCAAGTGGGTCTTTTTCACGATTTTATCAAAAATTGCCTCTCCCGGCAACATTGACGTTTTGTCTGCGCATGCTCAGAATAAATTAATTACTGTAAAATACTTTATTTTTGCTTGCAACATTTTTTTGCTATTTTCGCTGAAGGATTGTTTCAGTTAAAATAAAATCCAGTGAATATACCCTTTTCTTATATTTTACAGTCAACTTGTCAAAAATCAATGAAAATAAATTCAATACAAAACACCCAGAAAAAGTCTTTTCAGCGAATGATAATTCCAGCTGAAATAAAATATTTTACAGTAGATTAGATCTGTGAGTAAGGCTGCTGTTATTACGGCACGTGATTTCTCCATTGCGTGCAATTTATTATAGTACTGTTTATACATGTATTCTGTTTGGCTCAGTGGTCTCATCACTCGTTAC